GGACACCAACACAGTCCTTCAGCATCAAGGTGTGAACCAGCACCAGACGGCTCGAATACTGACATTCAAATCATTGGCCTACCAAGAGCCATCCTCAAAGATACCATCTTTGTTGTGATAAACACAAAGTTAGTATCAGTCTTTTGTGTCTTTTCATGTGCAACGCTTAGAGTTCGTCACAGACTAACTCAGTCCGTGTCAAAACGGAATGAGACACTTTGTGCAGGTGCTGCAGAAATACAGGACTGAAGCAAGTGTGACGTCCCGTACAGGTAAAATGAACTTTCATTTTTACAAACCATTTCATGACATCAATCTTAAAACTTTGCATAAAATAAGTAAACAAACAACTATTAACATTATAAAAAATACACCCACGATTCTGGAGTTCACACGTACGGACGACGCAACCACAGCTAGCCGCAGACCAGCTACGGCCACCGGACCATCGGATCAACGGCTAATGCACGGTTCTACTCTGTGAATAACAACATCTAGTGTGGTGTCGCTTGAAATACTTTTCGTCAAATGTCCTATTCATTATTTATTTTCTAAATCCAGTTTGAACCTTTTGATTAAATTAATTAATTTCCCCGATGCCACTGATGATGACCTCTCGAGGTTGAAACGCGTATGGCAATAGTGTCTTTTTATAGTGTTAATAGTTGTTTGTTTACTTATTTTACATTTCGTAACAGCCTAATATAGTTACAATTGAAAATGCTAGACATTCAACATGTTTTTGTTGTAATACAAAATGTTAAAAACTTTTAAAATATAGCCATTTCCTAAAAGATGAAGATGCAGAAATATGTAATTCAATTCAATACAGTTCAGTGCACGTAGTTTAAATATTTCATATGGCCAAGGCAAATACTACTGCGCTATCTGCACATTCAAAGGTTGTCAACCTTACGTGACACTACGCAGTTTACAAATGCTGGCAAGAAGAAACTATTCATGCCACGACTGATTTAAACTCAGACCCCTTTCCTCGCACACACATTAACACCTGGACTGAATAAAATATTTTAAGATTTCTAGTACCCAGCAACACCAAAAAAGTATTAAAATGAAACACACGATTCAAATTGTCTCGACATACTTAGATTCGTATCACCGTACACAGTTTAGGAAACAATGACTTGTGCTGCCAAGCCCAGAGCAAAATTATCATATAACATCGTAAAAATCTAATAACAATTGAAGGATCTGAGGTTTTCATGGCGGTGAGTCTGCAGATGGCTGTCTTCTGGGTCGTTGCGCCGCGTAGTCCGGTAAAAGTTTGCCGACATTTCAGGGGTCGCTGCTGCTTCCATGACTGCCCTGAGTATGTCTATGGATCTTGGAATCAATTCTGCCATCTGTTTGCACTTTTCAAAATACAAGATTTCCCACTGAAGCCTCGGCGATACGACACTAGCTCCTAAAACAGAATGCTTCAAGTCAAGCAACTAGTATGACGGGTAGCCATTTTAGAGGCTACAGCAGGAAACGTATCACAAATTAACTTTTACAACAATTTTTTACAAGGATTGGGTGCAAGAGTTTGTTACATTATAAAAAACTCATAGTTTGAAACAAGGAAAAGAAACTCCTGTACCATCAATATTTGTGGGTTCTTTTGTGAACATGGTAATGAACAATCAGGTTCCATAAAGGCAGGGAACTTCCAATTTTAAGGCCGCCATTCACGATCGCTCCATTCGTCCAAATGGCGCGGTGTCGCTCCAAAATTGTACCGTGAATGCGGAAACTGAAGTCCATTGGCGTGGCGTGGTGGGCTCGTTTGGATATTCTGTCGAGCCATAATCCATCCGATCGCTCCATCACTCCATCGCGCCATCGTATCGTGAATGGGGGAATCGGCGATCGAGCCACTACAAATCGGTTCGTGAGTGGCGGAAACGTGGTCCCTTCTCATGCCAGTCTGCCACGAGCCTTCGCCCAGTGAAGTCCAAACTTGTATAATGTCGGGTCGTGAGTTTGTTATTGAGGTGATTGAGAAATATGGAGAGTTGCCATGTTTGTGGCAGATAAGTAATGAAGACTATCATGATAAAGCTAAAAGAAGCTTAGCAATGGAAGAATTGGTGGTTTTATTTAAAACCAAAGATCCTACCGCCAACAAAGAAAATTCCCTTAGAAGTTGCTTCAGAAAGGAGCATAAGGACTTAAATTGCTTCTATTTAAGAGCCATTGCTTTGACCACTTTCGTTTTGGTTTTTTCCTTTTAATATACAGGCATACTGCCGTAGCTAGTACCAATTCTTCGTCCATCGCAAACACCACGCACTTCACAGAGGGACAACAAACCGCGACTGGCGTGACGCGACCGTGAATGTAGTACCTTTTTGGACGACATCCGTTTGGACGTCATCCATTCGGATGTCATCCATCTGGAGCAATCGTGAATGGCGGCCTTAAGTGACTCTCAGCTTCTCAAGGAGGACCCTACTCTATGGAGTTGGTTTGTCACTGTCATTATGGACAGAACAGGACCAAAGCCCCCCCCCCTCCAAAAGCAGAAGATTTCAGTACCCAAAATCTCAACTGAAAACATTAAAAAACCAACAAGGACTTTTCAGAATGTAGTTCAAGACTGCTTGTCAAGAGTTGCATTTATTTTCATCCATAAGATCACTAACCCAGAGAAACAACTATACTCTCTATAAACTACATTATGCGAGCCTCCGTCCTGGCATATATAGGTACTGATCGAAATCCCGTGGTTCTTCTCACAGAATGTTGACGCGGAGAAAAATAGTCCAAATGAAAGGGATTTCCATTTGGAAACAAATTACTAATATAGCATAAAATTAAATATGGATATTTATTTAAATATAATAAAAGTATTAAAATGTAAAAATATATTAAAAATACAAAACCTTATCTGAGTGAGTATTTTTAAGACATAAATTAAAATGAGTATCCTATTTCCATGTCAAAACTTTACACTTAATTCAGACACGACATGCAGATGTGGTCTGTTTCCCGCTGTAGAGGAACATCACCATTCAGAACCACCCCACTCTTCCATTATGCTAAGAAATATGTTACTGTAAATCAGGTTAGCATAGCTGCGTTAAACACTCATAAAAGCAAGAATGAGAACTCCACTTCGCACGGTTCATCACAAAAGGAATGTGACGTACGCATGCACGCGCTCTCACACATACACACTGACACTCTCGTTACATCACACCACAGCCCAAATTTTCATGGGTCCACGGTTAATGTCTGCTGGAATATCAGCATACATAATGTGTGTTATATAAAATACTTTTTTTCTAAACAGTCACTGATCATTCTCTCATATTTTATAATCAGAAATTGTTCTCTTGTACGTAGAGACACAAAATGTTCTCGTGCACCGTCACAAAAATCTCTCACAGCTCCTCATACATGAACACATTTTAGATAGTAATGTCTGTTTTTAATACTCTCTTGTATGACTTCAATGTTTATTATTTATTAATGTTAGTGAGATCTTTTATGGGCTCCACACTGCGTAGAAGATGACTCATTACAGCCGTCAGTTACTCATAAAGCACGTAGAGATGCACTGACGAGCGGTATGCCTGGTCATCTTCCATTATAGAGTGACACTAGACTGCAGTGGAAGCCCTCGGCTGTCAATGCCACTTCGACTTTTGGGCAAATATATCTGCTCGTAGATTATGAGCAAAACAGATGCCCAATATCTGGAAAAAAAAATAAACAAACAGAATTAAATAATTAAATTTGCATAACCTTTACAGACAGCCATTCCATCCAAAACTACCAATTAAATCTTTTCACTGTGAGAGGAGCAAAGTGGACAAGAATCATCTATATTTGATCTCTGCACATACAAACAAAAAAACTTGTCAAAAACAAAATTTGGGTCAAATGGAAACTTCCCTAGCTGTGAACTCGCTAGTCCAGAATACCACTGTATGGAGCGAAAGCAATATAAAATGATCTCTAATGGATATGAACTGTTTGACATGGATAAAGAAATAAAAAGATTAGAATTTAACACAATAATGTCTTCTTTAATCTTTATTATTTTTAAAACTTAGAAATCCAGAATGTATTCAAAGTTTGTTTTTAAATTTCTGTGACCAAACCCTGATGTGTCAGAACTCTGTACTTGTAGAGTGAAAGTAACAGTAAACCTTAACCCATGAATACAATGTTTATAAAATGAACATAACCAATGCAAGGATGAGGTCGGACAATGTCTCAAGTCGTTTGAAGCAGACCTCATACCTGCAGTTTATGCTCAAGTCATAATTTTGCATAAACCCTCTTCCTACTTCGCCTGTACGTTCCTTCAGACGGGTAAACTGTCACTTACATCTAAGGCATAGGCAGTGGCGGCTCGTGTGTCTGAGCAGTGGTAGGGGAAAACTCAGAATAGGTTTGCAACACATAACAATATAAATAAATGAAAAGTAAATTTACATCAGGAGAAGACCCATACCTGCTGTAAGACCGGAAGAGTGCGGCCATGATTTTTACACCAATTTTTTCACTCAAAGACAATTTAGAACAAGTAATTTTCTGTAACTATGAAACACTTCCTTTGCTCATTGTAATTAACAGAACAAAAAATTAGTCAGCACACATAATTACTGAACACTCATTAACAACAACCACAAAACAGTTTGTGATACAGAAACCCGTCTAAAACACGTGGTACCGGACAAGTGCGGGGACCGCAGCCCCATACGCGCTGTACCAGTGAACTGCCCCTCACTCCACCACCCCCTGTGCTCTCTACTTTTGACCGGCTAACCGCGCTAAAATCCTTGCAGCCGGATGATAGCACCGTTCTGTTTCGCACTCCTTGCCTGCGGACTTACAGTCAGTACAGCCAATTAGTGGACAATGACAATGTAAGAGGCAATATTAAAATAATTATATAGTGGAAATAAAGTGTTACAAATTATATAAACACAAAAAATAATTTTTTTAAAAATTATAGGGGGGTCTGCAGCTCTTATGGACTGGGTATAGCATGATTCACCACACATTCTGCATGCACAGTTTGAAGTCAGTGTCCAGAGGCTTTATAAATAAATGAAAACACCAGTGGCTCTCAGTACACCAGTTGAGAACCACAGTACAACTGGGCTTCTGATGTGACTTACCTAAGTGAGTACATACTTTAAACATGGTTCTGATCCAAGTTTTGCGGTATATGTTCAAATTTAATGATTCTGTACTTGCAACTGTATCAGATGCTCTTATAATAAATAATTCTTTGTGATTCACAGACATGGGAAGATGAATTACAGGTACAGAGTTACAACAAAATTGTGGGCAATAAATCTGTCAAATTGACAACAAGAAGCATTCTGAGTGTCTATTCAGTAAACTACAGTCTGCCTATGGGATCTGAAGTAAACTATTAGCTAGGCTATTGAGAAGTGAATGTAAGGGAAAATCACTTTAAATACTTGAAGATCACATCACTGATACATGTATACTAAACCACTGGAATTAGCAAGATGTTGTGTGGCTATTACCAGTAACGAGCACATATGTTCAACACGGACAAACGGAAGAAGCGAGAAACAGCACAGCAAACTTTCTTCACGAAAACTCCACCAACATCAGTCAGCAAAATTCACTCAATAAAGAAACACGAAGACATGTCAGCATCTCAGGGCTCTAGTCACTTCTTTCACAAACTGCACAACAAATATTTGGCATTTTAAATTTTAATCGACTTCACTAATTTAAAAAAAGGTTTTTTGTTTTACCATTATTTCTGGGCATCGGGGAGGCAGTCCTTAGTGCAATAACATAGAAGCAAGGAACTGAACCCGAGGATGACCACATTGGTTAAAAAACCAAGAATCTAACAAAACACACCCTTCAAGGAATGGTGACAATAGAAAGGTAGGGGCTCAGTGACTTCAGGAATAAAAAGTAATTTCTTTTAACTGAAATGTGACTGTTCTCGACTCTCAAGGTTTGATTACTGTTCTGTAAATCAGAAAACAATCCATCAGAATTTCATGTTCACATCAAAATTTTGCTTGCATCTATATACAAGCAGTTAAGTGACGACAGCAGATGCTATTTACTTAAGTTGAAGCATAAAAACTACCTGTGAGGAAGGCGTGCCCGGTGTTGGTGAAGGCCTACAAAGTGAAAGTTGAATACATGAAAACAAACACAAAACTTCTGTATTTATCTGACATAAACATCAAAGAGACAGAATGGCAACGTAAATTAGAAGTATAAAGAACCGGCTTTTATGGTCCAATGCATATAAGAGTAATTCTGCGTACACTACCTCCAGCACGCAGAAACTGATGACTTCCTACAATACTCCGGCTTGTCTTCTTGCAATAACATCAGCTAGAAAGTCACATGTTACAACCTCACACTACTTACATCTGTGTAAGAGGGGCCTATCCTGCCATCTCCTGACACTTCAAGCTAACCAATCACAGCATCCCACGCGTCTTTCTGCTGAAAATCTTAAGATCTGTAATTCACATACTCACAACACTTACTGCATATTAAATGAAAGGAGAGGTTTGTACAAACCTGTAAGAATGCAGTGGCCACTGCAATCCCCGCTACGATCAAGAGATTTCGCTCCATCCACTCCTCGCCAGCTTGGACACAGCCCTTGTCATTTATTATCTTGGCCACATCATATTGCTGCGACACAATGACATGTACTTACAACACATGGCGCTGCTTACCTTGCCACCAAGCAAAAGCAGATGCAGCACAAGAACTGGCTGCTACATCCATGAAGCCACAACCTGCTTCTAAAGGCACTACAAAGCACACTACCAGCTTGATTATCTAACGCAGTACATCAGCACACACAGTAAAACCTTCTGTATAACAAAACTAAGGTTTACAAAGTTTTGAACATTCTCAGACAAACATTCTTACCCACATAAATTTTAATCGGTATAAATGTGTTGGCTATAGTTTACCAGAACACAGGACTTTCCATCTGTTATACAGAGACAAATAACATGACGGTTTTACAGTATAATGGTGGTACATAACAAGAAAGTATGGTTATTAATTAGGGCTTAAAGAAGGTTGCCATTGATGATTATAATCTTTTAATTAGGCAAAATAATATACTTTGTTGCATTTAAAAATTAAATCTGTGGCGTAACAGCTCCAGAGAGCCGAAGCCGACTAGCTTGACTGCTGGTCTCACGTTCACATGCCTAAGCAGAGGTGTACGATCATCCAACCAGATCTAGGGTGACGTGTGGTCAGCACGACGAACCCCCAGCCATTGCTAGCTTCCCTGACCGGATTACGCCCAATTTCCTCACGATGCTGGGTTGGCACCGGTCCCATACAATGGTCGAAAGCTCATGAGAAAATTTCTTCTCCTCCGAGACTCGAACCAGCGCACATTCTGTATCGCCGGTCCGAAGCACGATGCCTCAGACCACGCGGCTACGGCGTGGGACACTGTTGCATTTATAATCCTATATTCATTGTTACACATACATTGTCAGGCCAGCCTCCAGACACAGAATCAAACTGAGGACCTCCAAAACACGAAACTGACCATGCAACTATGATAATCAGTATGTCCTTAATGAAGTTTATTGTCTTTAAAAAAAACATTCATAATTTCTTGTGTTTTATTAGATAACCAAGTTTCTAAACACAATGTTAGACAGCAATCCCATTCTGTTACCTGTAAAACTGCCACTGTTATGCCTACTGCTCCCACTGCCACAAAGTTAACTTCAAACCACTCTGCCAGTGCACGCAGACACCCTCGTTCAAAGATGTTGTGCTCCCCAGGCTGAGAGGAGAAGATTAGTCTGTCAACCAACTACAACCAACCACCATCTCAACATGCAGCAACAGAATCGCCATGCAATATATGTTAGTAACAAACAAAGAAATCACCAAAACCAATATTAATTTTAACTCGAAAGACCCAAAGGCAAACACCATACGAGCACATAGTATTTATTTAATGAGATGATAATGTTGCGTCATATTGTGATGATTATAATTGTTTAATTTTAACTGTCTAATCACAATAAAATATTTTAGTAAATATTAAAATATTATTACTACAATTAACATTTCGATAGAAGGAGCATCATTTTAATATATTTTAAATATTAAATGTTAATTGTAGTAATAATATTTTAATATTTTAATATTTAATAAAATATTTTATTGTGATTAGACGGTTAAAATTAAACAATTATTTATTTAATGTTACAAATGTTCTGCATCCAATTCATGTGATACGCCACTTCTTTTAACCCCTCGATGCGGATGCATTTAATCCCTGTCCAGACCCTGATGTGGCATAATTTTCTGCTGGGGATTTAATTTTGTAAAAAAACAGCCACTTGTAAAAAATCTTAAGCCTTTTAAATTATCACAATTTTCATATTTGTTACTGTATTTTAATGAAATTTCACTGTGTGCTGATGAGTATCTACAGAATGCTTATTCTAAACTTGATCATACACAAGAGCATTAAACAACTGAGGCACTAGTGCAATGTTTCACAACGTATACACAAAACACAATTTTTCGGTATTTACTTCTTTTCAGTCAGAGGTATTTTCCTGGGGAAATTATGTCATGTCAGCCTCCTTACTATGTCGTCATCTGCATAGGGACGTGTTACTTGATGCTCCTTTCAGTAGAGTACTAACAAGTCCTGCATTGAACTGAGTCCCCCCATCCCCAGGTGACGTATTAATAATTCATGACCTCTGGCACACATACCCTGTCCAGTTAATACAATGTTTCAGCAATCTGAACATAATTGAACATTCTAGAGGCTGATCTGTTAGCCTCTGGTAAAATTACAAATACTATAAATACACCACATGGAATTCAGTAAAGAGTCTTGAGTTGACTGCATATTATCACTGCATTCAACACACATTTAAGAATCTAAAGAGGTGTTTCACACATAGCTTTTTCATTGTTTTTCTTTCTAAAAGCTACATTTATAAAAGTTGCCCTTCTCGTCATCATCGCCCACACCTTTGTTGCAGCCGATAACAGAAAGAGGTGTTCGTACTTCCTGGCCTCGTATGTGCTGACAGATCTTTATCGCTTCATTTGACTTGGATACAACCTACTAATTCCACTATCTGTACTCATCTTTCTTTGCCTTTGGTTTCAAACCTACAGCTAATGATCTGTGTCAGATCTTACACAGTTTTCAACAAATGCACAGCTATGAAAATCAAACGATCCCCCAACTTCCAGTATACAAAGCACTGTTACTTTTACTGTACTGAATTAGCAACAGCGGGGCAAGTGTTCCACCTCCTTACACACATAACCATTCCTCCCTTATTCATTTACACAGTAAAACCCCTCAAGTTGGACACCCCTTTATATTGGACACTTTTAATTGGAACCGGCGAATATCCTATAATTTTACACGTCCACAGAACCCTATATGTTGGACACCCCTTTATCCTGGAACTTGACACCCCTTTTGTTGTAAGTTGGACAGGTTCACGCACTTGACTTCGATGCTTTTTGAGGAAACTTTTTCAGATACAAATTTTGTTATTTTGAATTTCTGACTGATGAAGGCCTCCTCTCCGGAGGATTATCTTATGGACATTGACCCCATCATTGGAATGCATTGCAAGTGTTTAACTAATCTTTTGCTGAACCCTTAACTGGACTAAAGTATTGCAGAAGACACAGTTTTAACTCCGCTTGCATTTGATTTCAGACTGTTTTAACAAAAATGGAATTTTTCTTTTTGCGATGGGGAAGCGAAAATTGGTGGAATTAACTTTAGAAAATGTTATTGAGGCTGGGGTGTAATGCGCAATGAATGGGAGTGGGCTTCAAAAGATTATTATTAATACTACTGTCATTAATTCTTAATTCAAGTAAGAATACAATAGTTAGTGTATGTAAATAGATTATATAGTCATTGGACCACAATCGGGTTTTTCTCTTTCCCCCTATCTTGGACACCTCTGTAAGTTGGACACATTTTCGTGGGACCCCAAGTGTCCAACTTAGAGAGGTTTTACTGTAATTACATCTTATAGTTCATACAAGTCTGTACCAACAACAAAATGTTAGCATGTTCCAATATATTTCAGCATTATGATGGGCTGGTGGTCACAGTTAACATTTCTCACTCGCCATGGAATTGTAAATATTTTAACTACAATCAGGCTCTGCTAGGTGTATGAGCATCTTAGAATTAGTGTACTTATTTGTTTAATACTGAAGAAAAATAATTCACATGATATTGCTTATCTAATTGTACAACCGATGTTTGCATGAACTGAGCACACAATTTCTATTTGTTACTGACATTGTAAGTTGGGACTGCAAAAACTTATTGCACACGGAACGCAGTGATAATCTTTCACAAATCAGAACACACGTGCTACAACAAAAATATTAGTGGCTAACTGTTCACAGTAATGAAGCGTATTCAATAAAAACACATAATTCAGTCAGTCAGTCAGTCGATGGGCTGGCTATGGTCTGGATTCCCAACAGTGAGGAGAACCACGGTTCAAGAGTACAATAGTTACAAATTAACTTTGTTTTTAGAGAACAATTCTTTACAAAACATGATGAAGGAAACACTACTTCAAATAATGAAAGAAAATAATAACCACTTCAAACTGATGGAATTCTGGAATAAAAACCAATGAAATATTGCAATAATAAAGTTTCTAATTCTACATTGTTTGCCAGTGCTGCCAATACCTGGTTATGGATCTATCAGCCCTTAATTACGTGAAACAGCCTGTATCAACTGTTAGAACCTGACCAAGCATGACTCTGAGCAGCACTGTATTGTAGTACTATGCGGAGGGGGGGGTGTTCCACTCACGGCCCCAAACACAATCACGTCTTGGGACACGAAGACATTTTCCTTTCTGTACTATAAATGTTTTAATTAGAAATGAGAGATTTCAGAACGATGGGTCTAATATTTCCAACCGCAACACACCTGATTTATGGGTGTATCTGTAATAAAATATAATTTTGCTAACCAAAATTGAACCTACATGAAATCTCAGACAGCTTGCAATTTTCACTACTCTAAATGCGCATGGTTGTCAGAGAAAACAGTTAAACTGTTCTACATTCATGAGGAAAATTGCAGTTCAGACAGATGTCGCAAACACGCACCGGCTTTATTCATGAATAACACAGCCAAAAAGGCAAACAACGTAGAACATTTGTAAAGGCAGTTATAATCCATCACCATGCAATGTTCAGCCATACTGGTTACAAAATACTAGTGTATAGAAATATTTTTGTAGTATTTTACAAGTTCTGCCACTAAAATGAAGCACAAATATATTCTTTGCTCATATGGTATTTGTGTGTAGTGAACACAAATATTTAAAACAGACGAGCAAAAGAGATATAAATTCTGGGAAATTTAGTGAAAGCATTTCAAAAATAATCTCCAAGGATTTCCTTCTGAGACATTTATGGAACCTGCACATTAGCTTGACTATAAATATCAACATCGCTGATATACACAATACATTTATTCAGTTTTCACATGCCAAAACTGTTTTCAGTTTTTAGATCACAGGACTTTATGAAATCAAAATGTTATCATTATTTTGCAGGTATGAGGTTCTTATCAGTTTTGTCTAGACAAGCTGATTTATAATACAGGATGCGCCAGAAACATCTGACGGTTTTTGAAATGTAATAACCTTTCAAAGCAGAGTGGAAAAATTTATTAACACAGTCAGATGCATTTACATTTTCGTCGAGAATTTGTTTTAAGCATTACTGTTTGAGTATGACATCTTGCAGGTGACGTCCTTGTTGTTCAACACATTTTTGCAGTCGAGACGGCATTAATGCCACAACACGTTGTAGCATTTCATACTGTCACTTTCGCCGTATGTGGAGGGCGTTGGTGAAGTTCATGCGGGTTGTTTGCAGCCCAAAAACGACAATTTTGTTCATACGCATAACCTGAAATGGGAAGTGGGCCTCATCTGACATCAGTAATGAGTTCACAATGTTGCAATTATTATTCACCAAGTTCAAGAATTTATTGCAAAAATGAAGTCGGTTCACCTTGTCCTGTTCACTAAGTTCCTGGGCAATTTGGATTTTGCAGGGATGGTAATGCAAATATTTGTGCAGATTTCGCCAAACGCTACTGTCCTTCACACCAAGCGCATGAGCTTGCCGTCGAGCTGACCTGTGGGGACTTCGCAACATGGCTTCTCTAACTCAGTCCGGATTTTAAGGTGCACCCATCGAACGTGGACGTCCTTTAGGTTTACTGTCCTTCACTGATCTTTTTGAAACCCACAACAGCAGAGTATTTCGGCTAGGTGCATCGCGTGTTTGAAACTGTAGTCAGAAACCACGCTGTCTAGCTGTAATTGACACACTTCTCATAAACGGTTCCATAGCCGCAACGTGGTGTTGCAATTAACTAACGTTCCATCTAAACCAAACTCCAAAGAGTGGGAAAGATGGTAATTACATTTCAAAAACCATCAGGTATTTCTGGTGCACCCTGAATAATTCTAAGCAACTACATGTATTACATTATGCAGATAATACTTACATAACCAGGTTTCCGAACATCATATCCACACTGCTTGTTTTTAATAATCTCCTGTAAAGAAATGAAAAAAGGCTGTAATTATGGATTATACAAACATCTGTACTTTCACCTCACCTCCTTTAAGGGAAATTATTTTTATTATCAAGATACTGGTAATCGCACGAGGACAAATGATCACTGGACTGTTTTACAAGTTTCTGCCGGAAGACAGCTACAATTTAATTGTAGAATTCAACCCCACAAGCAGTGCAGCATCAGATGAGACTCCTGCATGTTAATGGAACTTCCACACACAAACTAAATATTAACAGACTATGTAAACTTGAATAGAAAGAGGAGTTATCAAAGAAATTTGGAAAGGAAACTGCTCTGGCCAGTAATACTGTTCCTTGGACTGAAGTAAGTCAAATCACCTCTTGTTAATACTACAGTCATATAAACTTCAAAACAGCAAATTAACTCTCTTTATTACGTTAACAATTTAACTATAAACAATTACTCCCCTAACTACTTAAGTATAATGTCAACCTCACAAAACATAAAGGTGGCGACTGACTTGTAACATTTGCCTGTAATGTAACGTGTTACAAATCGAGCATTACACAAGTGAAGACAGCGAACGGAGCCGCTCGATGCGAGCTGCTCACGCTCGCGGGTGCTCCATCGTGTTGTCGGTTTTTTCGCGAATCCCTTTGAGTGTTACATTACAAGTCAGTCAGTCAGTCGAGCGGCGTCGTAACGAGCATTCACGAGTTCTTTAGATAAGAGTAGCGTATTAAATGAAACAAAGATAACACAACCTCCACGTCAAAGAATAAATACAAAGACATGAGCATATCACCTGTTATGCCGCTAAAAATATTTAACAGGACGAACATATCAAAGCACACCAATGGTGTTTATTCAAATATAGTTTAAGCATTCATGCGGATAACAGGACTTCAGGCAATTTTAAATATTAAGACAGGATTCACACCAAAGCAACTAGCAGCAAACAACAGGTAATATGTGATATGCAACAGAATGCATTAAAACGTGAAGTTTTCAAATAGGAATGACAAACTATCACTCAGTGACAGACGATATGAGTCAAGAGCGACTTTTCTGCTACATCGCTGAGTGACGCACACTGCTTATTGCTATAGAGAGGGTTTGTTTGTAGTGGCTTGTTGCATCATCCAATGAACCATAATGCACGCGGCAGAACATAGCAGATTATCGTAAGGCTACAGAAAAAGAAAGAAACATAAATTTTAAGTTCACATGAACTACAGACTATGTTATGTGGTGTGCAATGATCATTTCATTTACTGACATTTCCACAGATTAGCTACTTGACTACCTCAACGTCAATTTACAGGATGCATGACATCGCATACGACCTACTACCTGCTGCATACTTCTAGGTGCTTTGGTGTGAACCCCACATTAGGGCACTGCCATTACAACATATGTACACACCCAGTGGCCAATTGCGTTACCTGGATTTACAAAATAAACTAGCATGTACTGATTCAACAGTTTTGGTAATAAATAACAATTCAATTGGAAAACTTGTGACACAATTTGTCTATATGGACATCTGTGTTCCTGTTTTCAAGAAAATCTTCCAATTCTCCATACATTACATATCTAGTGTTCATTTGGGTTATCTTGGTTGCAGATTACAGAAGTCTCGGATGGAATTTACAATCAATACTATCAACATTTACAGAATGGAAACAATGCACTCAAACAAAAGACTGCTCAGTCATTCATGGCCTACTACGTACTTTGTTCATGTTAACAAAAAAGGCATCCCAAAAAAGCATAGTTTTGAAGCTTTCATAAATCTGATTGCAAAAATGTTACTTTCACAAACATCAGGGTAATGGTGGTTGCACACTCATGCTCGTAGTCATTCACAATTTCAGTTATGGAATTAAAGCAAATTGTTTTCTGGACATATCCTTCGTCCAAGATTAAATAAAATTGATAAAACCGTGACTTTTCGGAGATGAGAGTTTATCTCCGTCTTCAGGTGAAACCTACTCTGTTGGGCCCAATCGATAGAGCTAATCAGAATAGGTTTCACCCGAAGACGGAGACAGACTCCCATCTCCAAAACGTCATGGTTGTTATTGATCTTATTTAATCTTGGATGATGGATAACGTCCAGAAAACAATTTACTTCAACAAATTCACCATTGTCACAAACTTTCAAACTTGATATATAATTAAGTTCGGAATGAACACAAAAAAGTAACACTTATGATACGTGCACGTGAGTAACTGTTGTGGAGCCATGTTATGAATAAATTCACAGCAAACTGTCAATTGTTGCACTGACAAATGTCCTAAGTTCAGAATATGCAGACTTCATTAGTAATAAAATTAAATCCGTGGCGTAACAGTTCCAGAGAGCCAAAGCCGACTAGCTGGCTGCTGGCCTCACGTTCACATGCTTAAGCAGAGGTGAACGATCATCCAACCAGATACAGAGTGACGTGTGGTCAGCACGATGAACCCCCAGCCATTGCTAGCTTTCCTGACCGGATTACGCTACTTATCGTAGCTCCCCAAATTCCTCACGATGCTGGGTTGGCACCGGTCCCATACACTGGTCGAAAGCTCATGAGAAAATTTCTTCTCCCCCGAGACTCGAACCAGCGCGCATTCCGTATCGCCAGTCCGAAGCATGATGCCTCAGACCACGCGGCTACGGCGCGGGACTTAGTAATATGCAACAACGGACAGTTTGATGTCTTGCACCTGCCACTCATTGATGCCAACATTGCTTGAAAGTTACCAGTTACCATTCACATTAGTGTTGGTAACTATTTTTATTTACATGTGCATTAGTAATAACTGACGCTATAAAAAGCACTTTATCCCACAGGAAACATAATGTTTGCTTCACTAGTGTGTGAAGCTGTTCAAATTTGTACTTACATTTGGTTTCCGCTTACAACAAGAAAATGGCACACCACAAGCCTCTCTACTACCGACGTCTCTTGACGAACAATTGAAGTAATTGTTACGATCCCAGTCCTTGGGACCCTCTATCCCACAACACTGCAGCTGCAACAGACATTTCACAACTTTTATTCTCCTCTCCCCTAACAAAATGTCAGTACATTCACATCTTCTTAATCTTCAAGCAAACACCGAGTACTATTACTGTCTTGACAATTACATTTGTCAAAACGACACCGTGAAGACTCACGCATGTTTATCCATCCATCAGGCTTTACTTAACACAAATTTCCTTCCACATGGCTTTACAGTGCTTGGGGAACCTTGGCTGCCTTATGTGAATAAGGTTTCAAAATCAGTTTCTCAACAACTGGCAGGATTCCATAGATGGAAATCAGCCTGTTGCAAGTCCTTTACTTAACATACCACCTAAAAAATTGATCGGTTCAAATGTTAGCAAGTAATGCTGATAAGCTGTGAGGTGTCGCAATGTTACAGTGACACAATACACGGCCTTCTCTCAGATCACATTACCAGAGCCTGAAGTACTCGTCCTGCAACTCAGGCGTGGAGACATACATTCACACATTATAAACAAAATAGTACACCAAAGCAGACACAGAATGATCTTGATTATGATTAACTACAAACTGGTGAGGTATGTGCATGAAGGAGCAGTAAACATGAATAAAAATGCAAGACAAACCTTTGAATTAATTCATCAGGAAAAAGAAAAGAAGTTTCACTAAGAAATCCAAATTCAGGTACACTAGAATTAAAACATTACATAAACATCATTAGGCACTGTCACAAC